GCATCAACAGCATTAAGGACATCCTTCAAGACCTCCAGTGCAGTGCTAGCTTTCTCAAGAATACTGTGATTAATTGAACTAGTTTTATGGCAAGGAAAACTAGGATAATAACCACAAGAAAGCCAAAAAACAAAAAAAATGATACGAAGCTCGACTCTTTTTTCTTCTATGAATAAAGAAAGTACACATGGATACCAAGTCATATTTATGAAGCAATGATGATACCTGTGTTCAGAAACCTTCTTAGGTTGTGTCTTTGGTGCACTTTCACATTTAGTAGCAGATACCTTATCAAGTGAATTATTCTCGTTGGTGTTTGATGTAGCATGAGGTTTGGGGATATCACGAGGCCTCTGAGCAAATTGCACTCCTGCACTCTGCGAACATAGTATNAACATAGTATCCAAGGTTAACCTAGTCTGCAACATTAGAGTTTTTCCGCCACAATATATGCAAAACATCACAGGTATACACCAGCAGAGACAACAGAAAAACATAATATACAGTAAACTAAGAAATCCTTATTACAATTGAAAAGAAAGACTCTCCAAGCAGGGAATGTAAGATTAGTATACATCTCCAAGGAATGCATACTTTTCTTACGGGTAATTCCATCATTTTAAAATGGGTCCATCAACATCATCAACTTTATACGCAGTTAAAAGTATTATACATCCAAATAGTATCCGAAGACACTAAATTTCAAGATATAGCACACATCCCTGCTGCTTTTATTACCTTATCAGAAAGTTTCCACTTTCTTCTTCCTCGGACCCGATTATCCAAAAATGATTGCTATATTTTATTTGGACATTTATGTATAGATTTGATTTTATTATATTTGTCAATAATCAATTAATGTAGCGAAAAAGGATTGACATATCCTACCCCAAAGTTATTGGGAATAAGACTATTTGTTATTGGGGTTATTTAGAGATGCATGACCCGTTTGATAGAGCTTTTAAAAATCAAAAGCTGTTTTTTAAGACTAAGAAGCTGTTTTTGGGCCTTATTCGATAATTATCTAGAAGTGCTTCGTCTCGTTACAAGAGATTGTAGAGAAAGTTGGTCCGATGTCACTTCTTCAAGAAGCTCTTCTACGAAAGTAGAAGCAGAAGTCGAAACTATCCCAAATAGGCTCGTAATCTTACATATCTTTATCAATTTTATATTCCTTGGGAGGAAAATATCTAAAATAAGGTTTTTGGGTAATAAGTGGAAGGCATGGAACCAACAAATATAAAAAAAAAATGCTTTTCTTACAGGTAAGCATTTAAAACAACTAATATTAAAAGTATTCCCTAACAATGTTTGTTTACACTTTTGGAACCAAAAAAATCTGAGGTATAAATTATATGTGGTTTACATGTCACTTTTCTGGTACACTTAGCAAATATCATGATACTTCCAAAACATTATCAGCTGTTGAAATTTTAGAGAAGACCATATTATTTACAAAGTAGATATGGCCAAGATTCTCCATCTTCTGCTTGGATGCTAAATCAGCACAGATAAGTAACAACCCTATCAAAGTACAGATGATGAGGATGGCCAAGGTTTACTACAAATCATATCCATGGTTTAAAACTATAAAGCTTCAGAGAGTAATGGAATACAATGATATACTTGATAATAATGCATGACATACACCAAAGCACAGCAATATTCACAGATTCCTCTTACTCAAGTATTATTCATATTGACTTTTTTCCACTAAAACTATTCTTAAACCAAGTAAAGAAATCGGTGTCCCTAAAATTGTATCTTCAATGGCAATGTGGAAAGTAATGCATTATTAGAAAAAACAGTTTAGAAGATCTACATTCATTTCAGAGGTGTTACACTAACATGCTCGAATAGTATTTTCTTGACATGAGCTTTCATTTTATATTGATCGAAACTTGATAAATCAAACACTCAATGTGTACAGTACCTACCACCAATTCATAATATGCAGAATAATATTGAGGGAACCTCCCAGAAGCTCCACCTACAGATGTCTGAGCTGCATCTAAAAGAAGAAAAATCTTTTCCCGCACAGGAAGGTCTGACTGTAAAAAGGACATAAATTATTTCTCACTCGATCAAATCAGCTTATGATAGAGAGTCACATATGGAGAAGCATCAACCTTTTTCTTAACTATTTTAACAAGCATGGGAAGAATTCCTGTCTCGGTAACCTGCTTATGAACAGGTTCTCCAATATTATTCATTAACATCTCCAGCAACTGTATGATTTGAGCACCAGAGAGAACAATAAGTTGGGTTATTGATTATTCCAGCAAGTTGAGGGACATAAACATATCATGCAATTCCAACAATAGGAACATAACCGTACGCAAGCTGGCCCAAACATCCACAGTTATTAAAAAAAAAAAAAAAACCATAGGAACATAACCGGAGCAAAAATATTTTGAACCCTAGAAGTACTCACCAGTACTGCATATAGTTGTGTGTTTGAGTGTTTGCTTCGCAAGCTTTTTTTAACAGCTTTTATAACATCTTTAGCTTGCCTGCATTAATAGCACACCCTAAAATTGTTAAATCAAGGTTCAAAAAAATGTTAAATCACACACAACAGCTATGCCTTAAAAATCAGCTCAACATGACTGCTTATATTCTCTCTATTTTACCAATTTCCAAGGAACTTATCTAATGTTATAAATAGCAAAGGGAAAGAAAAAGTTTCGGATTTGAATTTTACCTTCTACATCTACAGTGTAGAAGAAACAACTATCAACCACTAATTTATAGCAAAATGAAAATTTATTAAATTGGATAAAACAAAACAAATATTTTACAAAAACCTTCTGACAAAATACTATGCCCCCATCGAGAAAGAGAACTGACTAACACCTAACCAAGTTGAAGACCTATCAACGCTGGAAAGTATAATGTCTGCATTTAACATATTAAAAAGTAAGGGCTGAATCTTACCTGTAATCATGTGCAACTAATTCACAAATCTCAATGTTTTTCATCCAATCCATTTCAGTAAGTTTATCACTTGTTGCAGAATTAACAAGTTCAGATGCCATATTTACCATCTCTGCGGTAAGACATGAAGAACAAGTTAACAGACTGTAAATGCATTAGAACAATTTACCTAAAAGAATGATGTTAACAGGTTTCCATTGAAAACCTTTACGGCTATAACAAGTCATATAAGAAGTGTATTGGGAAATGTGCAGCTAATAAGATTTGTCTTACATGTGCACGTTAGAACTATCACCGACAATTGACAAAAAGTACACAACTAACTTAAGGCCGCAAAGCTACAGCTTGGAGATACTAGATTCCAACAGGCCATTATGGTTGTGTGATTAATTGAGATGGAAGCATTCCACTGCTTATAGTAAGATATCAGATATTAATTGGAACAGAATGCATTTAATACGTGACACGTTTCTTCTGCCTTTAATTTGCAATATATCACAACGAAAAATTCATTGGTTGACAGCAATATTCCATTTCCTTTAAGCTTCAAAGAAGCATAGACTAACAGCATTAGTTTCAATTCATGTGATATACTAAACCTCTTCTTCTTGAGATAATTTTTGCGTCATCAACTGCACGACCTTAACCAAAATTTGTCCCCACAACATAATAAATACAAGCAGAAAAGCATTGGTATATGAACACACTATGGACATATCAATATGATTATGAATTCCAAGTATGGATCTTTTAGAGATGGAATAACTTGCTTACATAGATAAGATCACATTTTTCAACTGTTTATTCTAATCTTTCACAATTATCAAACACCAGGGCATACTGAAATCAAATTGCATCATATCCATTAATAACATTCAAGGGGACAAAAACATATATATAAAAAAATGAAGAAGAAAAAACCATTAGACCAAGATAACAATCTCTGGCAAAATAACAAAAATCACAAAATACTAGCTTTCACACTATTCTTTCATGTATAAAAATCATTTAACAGGCCACTATGCTTTCCATGCTATCAGGAAACTTCAAACTTGGCGAATTTAACAATTCAAAATTCAGTTTATATTATCCCCATTCCACCGCCCCCCCTCCCCCTTTACATATTCATATTCAAATCATTTACAGAAAGGATATGGGGATTACTCATTTTAGCTCCTTTGTACTTTGCTTCTCTTCACTCACCACAAAAAAATAATAATAATAATTAAAAAAATCTCGTCTTTTCATTTTACAAAAAACATTCCAACTTTACTTCAGATCTCAAGCAAGCATTTAAGAAAGGGGATACAAAGTAACAAAACTATAATTGATCTAGCAAGCATTCAAGAAAGGGGATACAAAGTAACAAAACTATAATTGATCTCAATATAAATATGATTATTTTTTTATTCGTCACAAAAATCCTAAAAAAAAAAATAATTCATCCCAAATTAAACAAAAAAATTCACTGGAAGAGCAAAGCAAGATGATAAATCAGTACCTGGAGAGTCAGCAAAGATTAAAACGGCTCCTTCAATGGTCCAATTGTATGTATAGTTGTAATCATACGATACACACGACTACAACTGTGCTGCGTATAAATATATATATGTATATAATATATATGTGTATGGTACGTATGAATTAACGGTGATAAAGAAAGCAAATAAATTAAGAATCTCTCGTAATTACTTTACCAGTATACAGTGCAATGGACTTTACATTTCTTTTGAAAATTGTACGTTTTCCAATCTTTCTCTGAATAATCTAATAAGATTATAAGCAAAAATAAAGAAGAGTAATCGAGAATCTCTGTGTACTAATTTTTTATCACTCTCTTCTCTCTATGAGAAGATTGTATATTGTAAGTCTACGCGGGTGAGATAGTGTGCTTTATTTGCCCTTTTTATTTATTTATTTTTTAATTTATGAAGTGAAGTGAAGATTTAAATCCATATCGGCGGCGGCGCCATCTTATGCTTCCGGCTTCAAGATATTGGCTTGCTTATGATAACGAGCAATGCTACTAGTACATCAGAGTGTACATCACAGTGTACACCCCTTTCACGTGGATAAGGGGCTCACTCGAATATTTTATTCCAGTGGGCCCCTCCATGTGAGGGGATGTAGACATTGATGTAGCATTTTTGATGTACAACTAGAATTATCTCTAGAGACGCTATTGGGCTTTTTGCATAACGGGCCTGGACAGCCTAAATATCCATTTCATTTCAATCCATTTCTTCAGTGTTTTGCTATGAATGAACAAAATAAAAGACAGCGGATAGAAGTTTTCTGTTTTTCATGGTAAAAAGGAACATTTATTTGAGATGGAATTGAGCGTTAAGAAAACATATGTTTTAACTTTAAACACAAAATAGAGTGAACATTAGTCGTAAAAGCATTCACCGAAAGAATATT